GGACTGAGGCCAATTAGCCATTCGCTGCCTCGCTGGCATATATTACTTGTATGCACTCACATACTCGCTGAACAACATGAATGGAAAGCTTTAGGAATTGTGCAATGTACCGTTGCCGTTGGATGTGAAATGAATAATTGTGCAATGAACCGTTGGATGTGAAATAAGAGAATGTTAGGCCGTTGGATGTGGAATTAGAGAATGGAAGGCCGTTGGATGTGAAATTAGAGAATAGAAGGCCGTTGGATGTAGAATCGAAAGGCATGTGGATCTAGAATTTTGAAATAGTGAGGCCGTCGGTTCGCGAGTATAGCATATTCGTCATTATTTGGTCGTTGGTTTACGAGTACCATACTCTACATTTTTAACATTTTTCTTACTTAGATAAGTCGAATAACCTGCACTCAAAAAGAGAGAACGAGTGATGTATCATACAGGGAGTCTCAAAGAAACTTTAACTTTTTTGAAGTGTACTGCGAAGAGTCTCAAATAATCTTTATACCTAAGAAGAGAGGCATCCCAGACAAGAAGAAGCCCAAACAAGTGAAGAGGCCCAAACAAGTGAAGAGGTCCCAACAAGTAAAAAGGCCCCAACAAGTAAAGAGGCCCCAACAAGTAAAGAGGCCCCAACAAGCAAGCCGAATGGGCACAGAAGAACTGCAACCACAAGAGGTTAGCAGCTGATTAGGTACCAAGAAACCCAATAAGAAGTCCGCTGGGAGATTTAAAACTCCCAACAACGAGCAAGGTAACCAAATAGTGTTTACAAAAAGATCGTGTTCAAGTGTAGTGTTCTAAATCATGTAAGGTGATAGTATCGTGTCACATTGAAAGATTGTTAGGCCGAGGGAAGACAAAACCAGTGAAAAATTGATAAGCTGCCAAAGTGATTGAATTATCAATGTTGGAGATTTTCTAGGATTTTCAAACAAGAAAACTTCCTGACAATAGGGTCCCAAAAGGGCACCATTCCACTTCACATAAGTCTCCTAGAAACATAGTGCACGCTCACCAACACAACCAGCGAGACAGGGCTCAAACAATCCGGTACGTAGATAGGCTCGCATTTACACCCAAAGTAAAATCATTACGTGTTTTAGGGGAATAGCTATACAAGAGTCACGCACAATCAAGAACAACTAATATGGTATAACTCATAGAAATCATGAGACAGAGGAACATCTAACCTCATAGAAATCAGAGAACAGATGAACACCCATTCTCAAATCGAAGAGAAACCAAGTAGCACGTGCACATAGCCACAATATTATAATATAATAGACTAATGGAAACACACGAAAGGCGTGAAGGTTAACTAATGCATCAAAAGGAGCCTAAATTTCAAGATTAGTTCAGGGATCCATGCTAATTAGCAGCAGCACGTAAACATACAAATACGTGCATTATCCAAACAACAAAATTGCAAAAGATAGCATTCTAAAGCACCACTACGAGTTAGTCATACTACACAAACACGTGATTGAGTAAATTACTCAGTTCCAAAACACGATAGAATGCGCGAAGCATTCCAATGACATCGTGGGACAGAATTGATTTTGCGCATAGCAATCTCTAAGCATCAACCAGAACATAAACAAAAACGGTAACAACAGTGACATCACTAGAATAAGAGATTGCGCTAAACACTCACTGAACATCACACAAGGCATACACTGCCTCACAAGCATAGTAAATGGTACAATTACACCACACACACTGTTAAAAGAAGTATTCACCTAGCCAGCATCGATAAGATCCAGCAAGATAGCTCTCACAGATAAGAGTACAGTTATAAACAAAAAGACAAGACTTAGTAAACACAATCTCATAAGAGTAGGGTTACAAATGAAAGACAAGGCTTAATGAACACAATCTCACAAGTGATTAGATGATTAGGTGATAAAGTAAGCAACTCGAACACATCCACTGAAATCCGATCAGGGCAAATAAAAAGCCAAAGAAGATCAATGAAGGAGGACAAGGGGAATGGAATAGAGCACACACAAATACCACATGACAAGCGAACACTTAGTGTTGAGTATGGGGAGTAGCTAAAAGGTACGAGACAATAGGATACAATAGACATCTTCTCAAGTACGGTTATCTCAGCTAGGAAAAGTTCCTAGTCTTAGAGAATCGAACTGAGTCTTTATTTGTGTTTTCACTAGACTCGGGATTTACTTGAGTGTTTCTCTCTCACGCTGGAGTCCCGGTATAGCTTACCGGTTATACCGCTAATATTTCTGATAACTCTAATATCAGAAATATCCCAATCCTAATTCCAAACCAGTATTTGATTATTCTGGGTTTTGGGATTTGTATTGGCTTTTTGACAATCTGGTCCCTAGATGCTACAGCCCCCCAACTTTATGCTTCTTAGCCTGCGTGGGAGTAGAAAGTGACATCTTACAGTACTAGACTATCTAGAGGTTGGTGTTTGTATACAGGGAATAACTTGTCCCTTAGGGGGCATAAGATGAAAAACCTGCCATCATTATCTATTCTTACATGTTACCGATTAATTAAATTTATACTATAACTGGAATTCTCTACCACGTTCATCGGAGTCAGTCTTGACCGGTGCTCTCGGTTGATCTCAACTTAGTTTAGGAAAACGCTTCTCAACGGTGACTCTACAGCCGAGTCTCTGGTCCTTGTCCCTCTGGTATGTGGGGGTATCATGCTTCTAGGCGAGAAAAGTGGGAGTGTCCTGTAGTGTCAGTGAGACTGGCTTAGATCCCCCGCCTCGTGCGCTTTCTGTGACTCGCAATCTTTCATAAGTGCTCATCGTCGTTGGCTTCTTTGGCCTTGACTGCCTTCTTTTACGTATATGGCGTTGACGGTATGTTGTAATGACATCAGCATCTGCGATGTCTGATTCATGCGTCTAGGTATGCTCACCATCTGTCCATTGCAGTAGGTACTCCTGGGATCCATAACCTCGGATGGACGGCCTGTCGTCGACTATAGAGGAGAACTGAGTCTCTTCGTTTGGTTGCACGTGATTGTTGGAATTAAATGCTTCCGGAGCATTGGCCCTTTTTACAAGGCCAAGTAGCTCATCACGGATCGAGTCGGGATATTCAGGTGCTTTAGTCCCATCAAGGCTACAGACAAACTACCTGTTGCCCTCCATGCATACTATTCTGTATGGTCCACCATTTGGTGCTGTTAACTTGTTCATTTCACCTTGATAGCGAACCATGACAAGGTCCCCTACCTGGAAGTTTACGTACTCCTTTTGGTATTTTCGACCGTATGCTGCGCGCATCTTCTCTTGATGCTGTGCAACATTAATATCTAGTTGTGGCCTGATGGCTTCTTCTAGATTTTGCAGTCGCTCTTCCCAAGATACTGTTGTACTGGGTGCAGTCACTGGCTCGTTATAGTCCTTGAATTGATTCTGTCTGCAACCAAAGTATACATTAAAGCGCGGTGACTTGTGTCTTCTGGATGTGCGCAGGTTGTGGCCCATCTGTACGAATAGAAGTCGTGAACACCAGTTACCTGGATTCTGTTCAACGAACTTTCGTAGTAGTGGCATGAAGTCTCTGTGCGATCGTTCGTTCGCGCCTAATACTCTAGGTTGATACGGCCGAGAGACTAGGTGTTGCATTGGCGCTTGTTCAACAACTTTTAAAAGTATGTCGTTAAAATATTCAGTGCCTTGGTCAGTTTGTATGATTTGTGGGAATCCATGTTCACACATGATTGGTACCAGCGTGCGTGCTATGGTAGCTGCTGATTTATCCATCATTGGACGTAAAATAACGTATGATGAGTGTAGATCATCCCATACTAACACATATGGGTGTCCTCTGTTGGAATTTAATAGTGGACCTATGGTGTCCACTTGGACTCTGTCGCCTGGATATGCGGCTGTGATTGATTGTAAGGGGTGAAATTCCTTTTTGTTTATCTTGTTTTTGAGACATGGTATGCATCCGTCAATGGACTTGTTTACATGTTGTTGGATATCCGGCCAATCATGTCCATCGACTTGCAACTTGTGTACCATTTCCTCAGGAGTGTAATGTCCTAAGTTGTGGTATTGCCCGATGATGTTGACCCGTGTCTCATACTCTCTTACCTGTGGTGCATCCCCAGAGTGAACTGGTTCCAAAAAAAAACCACGTTGCATTGGGGTAGTAGGGTACACATATCGTGATGCTGGTTGCCTCTTCAATGACTTTGTCAAGGACATCAGGTATGAGTTCCCGTGATGGGTTCGCCCATGCATTCACTTCCTGCGCCCACTTTTGTTGTAGCGCATACTGTTATTTGGTGTAGTATTTATCTGTGTGTGCATTGTGTGCCGATGCAAACAGATCCACTGTGAATTTTCCAAACGGTCGTTCAGCTTCTTGGTATAATATGGGATGTAACATTCAGTCTATAGCCAATATGGTGATGGGCATGTTCGTTTCCAAGGTGGTGTACTCTTGTCTATCATGTGTTGCCTCATTTGCCATTTGTAATCCTTTTGACTCTTTCGTATTAAAAGTGTCTTCATGTATGATGGAGAAATGGTGGTGGAACGTTTTTGCTATCCATTTGGCTAGCATTGGGTGTAACGTCTGTTGACTGTTCATTTGCGTGAGCGCTTTGTGATCTGTCCACAGTGTTATGTCCCCCCCTTTGATGTATTCGGAGAAATGTTCCAGGCTGTATACCAGTGCTAGTAGCTCTTTGGTATTTGTGCCATAACTTTGTTGTGCTGGATTCAAGCCTTTTGAGAAATAGAGAATAGCTCTTCTAGCTCCATTGATGACTTGAAATAAACATCCTCCTATGCCATAGTCACTAGCATCATTCATTATTTGAAACGATATCCAATCGACAGGGTATGCTAGCGTCGCGGAACAGGCGATGGCTTCTTTGAGTTCTTCCCGCTTCATTTTGAGTTCCGGAGTCCATAACATGGATATGTTCTGGTTCATTTTTCCTTTCATTAAGTCCCGAAAGTGTTTCGTTGTGTCGGCAAAGTTGGGGGCATGGTCTCGCATGTAATTTGCTAGTCCCACTACTTGCGCAGATCTCTTTTTGTCTTGGTTAGTGGCCAGTCCATCACTCTTTTCTGTTCCTCAGGGTCTGCTTTGAGTCCCTAAGTGGTGACTTTCACACCGAGAATGTTGACCACTTTGACCGCGAAGGCATACTTGTTGTGATTGAGCCGGAAGTTTGCTCCATTCAGTCGCTTGATTACTTCATGAACTGTCTTGTGGTGTTCTTCTTCTGTGAGACTCGCAATGACTATGTCATCTACATACACTTGCACTCCTTTGATATCTATGAGCAGGTTTGCCATGACTCTCTGTAATTGTGCTGTGAGTGAGTGTAGTCAAACGGCGCAGACTTGAATGAGTACTGCGCTCCTCTCCACGAGAATGTGAAGAAGTGTTGGCTTGCTTCGTCTACTAGGAAATGGTGGAATCCTTCTGTGAGATCTAGCTTCGAAAAGAATTGTGCTCCTTGTAGGTTGTGTAATACTTCTTTATTTGCGATAACACAAACGTGTCTTGTTCATATTGATAACTGATCTCACATAAGTCTAGACATGTTCTTATTTTCTTGAGTAGACCTGATTGGACATGTTCACCTGTTGATAACAGCGGTAGGTTCACCGTTGTCGGCGTGTTGCGTTTGTGTATGTGACCATCTTCAAACTACCTTTGCACATTTCAAACTACCTTTGCACATTCTTATCCGTTTGCGGAATATATTTATAAGGTACAAGGTTGACTTTAGCGTGCCTCATTTGTCTGACGATGATTCACTTGCAGGTACTGCGACTGCGGAGCATGGTAGGTTGCAATGTATATCAGGAGGTATATTCGCATTGGTATCTAGAAGGTCTGCAAGTGACTCTCTGAAACATTCATGTTCATGCTCTGGGTCCTCGTCATGTGGTGTGAGGAGTGATTCCCATTTTGCATCTGTTGGTATAAGTAAGTTGATTAATCGTGCGATGTATATACATATGTATGGTAGAATGTCCATACCAAGAAGTCTCGGTGCCTTCTTGTCAGGTAGGTCCAATACTTCAAAACATTGAGAGGTCTTCCTACCTCCAAGGCTAATGTCACAAACTTCAGTTGATCCAGTGCGTTGTATTCTTGCATCTGTTTGTGCTAGTTGAGTATAACCCGGTTGCGCTCTGACAGAGATATATATTTCTCATACTACACTTTTGTCCATGCATGAGCGTTGTGTGCCCGAGTCTAATAGTGCATTGTAAGCATTGTCATTAATTTGTATGTGAATGTGTAAGCGTTGGTCTCGTGGTCCGGGAAGTAAAAATAAAGGTTGATATTTTATATCATTTGCAGTTATTAACAACGTTTCTTCATCTGTGAATACATTGAGCCTGTCAGCCAGGTCAATCATGTTTGCTTCCGCCCACCAGTTATTTCAGTGCTCACCACCTTCTGTGATGTCTTCCACTTTGCCAAATGTAATTGACAGTAAATGTAATTGACCTTGTTCTGGTTGTGTGCTCCATTATCTGGCTTGTGACGTTTGTTAGCGTTAGTAGAGTAATCCTCAGCTTGTGCGGTTGTCTGTGCGTTGTTACGTTTGTTTAGTGCTCGCACTTCGTCCCTCAACATACGCTCTGCTTGTGTCACAGTCGCCATTCTGATGTGTGACTCAGTCATAGTATGAAACTTGGTGTGTTCTATGTCTGACAAGTACCCTTCACTGTCATCTGGTTGCTTATCTCCTTTGATTAGAGTATCCACCTGTGTTTGCAGTCCACAGTACTTAAGTGCGTGGTACCTTTGTACTTTGAGGACTTGTAAAGGTATGGGTTCCTTGTCTGAATTGCGGTAACCCTTCTCTAACATCGCCATTGTCTTATGCGCACGCTCTGTGCGCACTTCGACGTTCAGTTTCTTATTCTGTATATCGTTGAGAAATTCTACAACAGATAGTCTACCGGGTGTGGTCTGAGTCTATCAATAATGGCTCAATTGAACTGCTCAGGATCCTTGAAGTGCTTAGTCGCATGCGTCTCATAATCTTTTCAGTTATTGAGTACTGATTTGGTCTTCTCCGTTGCATCAGTGGAATCCAATAGGTTTCTCACTAGTCCTGGGTACTGACACAGTGACATAGACTGTTAAGAATAGGTCGCTGCTTGTGTAGTAAACTCTATGATATCTTCACAGTTTTCCATTTCAGAGGTACGAGACAATAGGATACAATAGACCTCTTCTCAAGTAAGGGTATCTCAGCTCGGGAAAGTCCTTTGTCTGAGAGAACCGAACTGAGTCTTAATTTATGTTTTCACTAGACTCGGGATTTACTTGAGTGTTTCTCTCTCACGCGGGAGTCCTAGTATAGCTTACCGGTTCTACCGCTAATATTTCTGATGACTCTAATATCAGAAATATTCCAATCCTAATTCCAAAACTCAGTATTTGATTATTCTGGGATTTGGGATTTGTATTGGCTTTTTGACAATCTGGTCCCTAGATGCTACATTAGTAGCACTAAGCTTAGCAACAAGAATTTTCGATTAGAATACACAATCACGGAAGACATCACGTTAACGTAACACAACACGATACTAGTGAGGTGTCATCAATAATAATCCGCAATACCCACACTCCATCACAGACATCTCAAGATGCCCACAGCAATCCGAGCAGGCGTGTATGGTGGAGAGGAAGTAGGAGTGGGCACAGATGGTGCAGGGGGTAGCGTAGGGGAGCCAAACCCAGGTAGGGGGTCAAACCAACCCACACCTGGAGGAGTTTCCATACTAGCCTCAGCAATGCGTCTCGAAATAGACAAGAGTATATGCCAAGGCAATTATATCTTGGTTAGTAGATTTGTGTCCAAATTGGAACAAACAGCACCTGTGCCTATACCGACTCTACACAAGATGAGGGTAGGCATTCATGACCAACAGCCAGAACGACGCATGCCACTCGTGGATGCGGAACTCAGACGACGATACAACCAATCTATGAATGTTTGCGGTGACGATGAAGAAGATGATCTCATTTAAATAAGTCAATACATTTGTATATTAGAGCTCATGATTTCAGGCTTAGGCGACCAGATAAATGAACCACCTCTTGCAAAACTACTGAAGACTTCCGAATTTCATAAGATGCCTAAAGATAGTTACTTTAAAATGGAAAATTGTGAAGACATCATAGGGTTCACTACGCAATGTAGTGTCCTATTCTTGGCAATGTCTATGCCACTGTGTCAGTACCCAGTACTAGTGAGAAACCTACTATATTCCTCTGATACAACAGAGAAGACCAAGTCAGTACTCAACAGCTTAAGAGATTCTGAGACGCATACAACTAGGCATTTCAAGGAACCTGAGCAATTCAATAAGATCATTATTGACAGACTCACCCCCATCCAGTAGACTATCTATTGGAGAAAGTTCTCACCGACATGCAGAATAGGATGTTGAATGTTGAAATGCGCACAGAGCGTACGTATAAGACAATGTCGATGTTAGAGGAGCGTTACCACAACTCAGACAAGGAACCCATACACTTTCAGCTCCTCAAAGTACAAAGTTACCAAGCACTCATGTACTACGGACAACAAGCACAGGTGGATGTTCTGATCAGAACAGACAAACAACCTGAAGGAAGTAAAGGGCACTTGTCAGATATTGAACACACTAAGTTTCATACTATGACTGAAGCAAGCATAAGAGAGGCATTTTAAGATGCAAGTGGAGCGTATGTTGAGGGATCAGTTGCGAGCGGAGAAAAAAACGTAACAACGCACAGACAACCGGCCAAGCCGACAACAGCACTAACAATGCTAACAAATGGTATAAACCAGATAATGGTGCACCCAACCAGAACAAGCCGGTGGGACAGGCACAGGAGAAGAAGGGGGCGTGTGAAGAGCGTGCATGTCCCTACTGCCTAAGCCCACATCGGTTCAGCAAATGTCCCAAAATAAAAAACGAATCAAGCCAAGCAGGCTGAGGAGCGGGCCAACAAGGATGTGCAAATAGCAAGACTGTCCATTACATCTGGCAAGGTGGAAGGCATCACAGGAGGCGATGAACACTGAAACAACTTGTGGGCAGAAGCAAACATGATTGACCTGGCTGACAGGCTCAATGTATATACAGATGAAGAAACGTTGTTAATAAATGCAAATGATTTAAATTATCAACATTTATACTTACTTCTCGCACCACGAGACCAACGTTTACACATTGATATACAAATCAATGGCAATACATGCAATGCATTAGTAGACTCGGGCGCACAACGCTCATGCATTGGCAAGAGTGTAGGAACAGCACTATATCTCTCTGTCAGAGCCCAACCAGGCTGCATACAACTAGCACAGACAGATGCAAGAATACAATGGACATTCAACCATACATAGGTATATACATAGCAGGATTAATCAATCCGCTTATACCAACAATTGCAAAGTGAAAATCACTCCTCACACCACACGAAGAGGACCCAGATCATGAACAAGAAGGTTTCAAAGAGTCACTTACAGACCTCCTAGATACCAATGCAAACATGCCTCCTGACGTACACTGCAACCTACCAGGCTCCACAGTCACAGTACATGCAAATGAAATCAACGTCAGACAAATGAGGCACGCTAAAGTCAACTTTGTACCTCACAAGTACATTCCACAAACGGATGAAAATGTGCAAGGTTAGCTTACAGATGGTCACATATACAAACGCACCACACCGACAACGGTGAACCTACCGCTGTTATCAACAGGTGAACATAACCAATCAGGTTTACTCAAGAAAGTAAGAACGTGTCTAGACTTGCGTCAGATCAATTATCAATATGAACAAGACAAGTTTGTGTTACCGAAAATTAAGGAAGTATTACATAACCTCCAAGGAGCACAATTCTTTACACAGGAGGGTTTCACCATTTCCTAGTAGACGAATCAAGTCAACACTTCTTCACATTCTCGTGGAGAGGAGCGCAATACTCATTCAATTCAGTGCCGTTTGAACTACACTCACTCACAGAACAGTTCCAGAGAGTCATGGCAAACTTGCTCATAGATATCAAAGGAGTGCAAGTGTATGTAGATGGCATAGTCATTGCGAGTCTTACGTTAGCTTACAGATGGTCACATTAACAAACGCACAACACCGACAACGATGAACCTACCGCTGTTATCAACAGGTGAACATGACCAATCAGGTTTACTCAAGAAAGTAAGAACGTGTCTAGACATACGTCAGATCAATTATCAATATGAACAAGACAAGTTTGTGTTACCGAAAATAAAGGAAGTAATACATAACCTCCAAGGAGCACGATTCTTTTCACAGGAGTGTTTCACCCTTTCCTAGTAGACGAATCAAGTCAACACTTCTTCACATTCTCGTGGAGAGGAGCGCAATACTCATTCAAGTCAGTGCCGTTTGAACCTTGAGAGCTGTACGGTTCATGTTTAAGTATAGTACTGTGTACTTGCACGCACAGTTTCAGACGGTTCTGTAGAGGGATCCGTTTGTTCTTGCACACTGCAAAGCCATTACGTCTTCATTATTTTTTATTGTATTTTATTTTCGTAAACATAATTTGCAATAGAGTACGTTGGAAACGTTTCATCAACTAACGGCTACGGAACTATACTGTTCAAGTATAGTGCTGTACACTTGCAAAGTTTCAGACGGTTCTGTAGAGGGAATCTGTTTGATCTTGCACACTGCAAACCCATACCGTCTTCACTATTATTTCTAATTTTATTTTATTTCAAGTCATGGTAGACCAAAACAAGTCAAACCCCATATGCACGCGCCATAAGACCACCACAGGGAAGTTGGAGTTGGATCAATAACTACAGAACGTGGACAAGTCATCGGGAGAATGCGTAGAGCGCTTGATAAATCAGAATGTCGATGACGGGAGTAGACAAAGGAGTAAAGTAACTCGCCGAGAGCAGATGGGAGGTGTAGAAAGTGGACGCTAGATAACTGTATCTCAACGATCTCCTTCCTGAGAGAGGGATACGTTGTTCATTTATTAGTAATTGTAAAACCCATGACTCTAAATATGAGTCATGAGTCATAAGTCATGTGCTGTAATAGTCAGCAAAACTAAGTTTATCAGATTATTCTGATAAACTGTAAAAACTGTAATAAAACTATAATAATTCTAAGTTCGTGTATTCCGACCGCAACCCCCCCCCCCCCCAAACCTGAAGCACTGACCCGAATAGAAGTATGCCAGTTTTAGAGATGATAAGGAATACCCAAAGTACCTTAGTTGCTGGCATTTATCATCTGAGAGCTAGAGCAGTGTGCTGGCAGTTATCCTCAGGGAGCTATAGCAGTGTGCTGGCATTTAACTTCTGAGAGCTAGAGGGCTCGAAAATCACGGTTCGAGCGCACCGTCCTACCGAGTAGTCATATCTTAAGATAAAGATTAGATCTGGGCACGTTGGCGTTTACGTGTCCGTGTCTGCGAGGCCTTGTGGTAGGCCGCGATATCTTTGGCATCATCAAAAGCCTCCGCTGTTTCCCACGTGGGGTCGCCTTCGCGCCATCTCACCAAGTATTCCAATTTCCCTGTATCATCACTAGTACGGTGTGTAATAATGTGGCGAAACTCAACATCTCCTTCTGTCCGTGTCTGCGAGGCCTTGTGGTAGGCCGCGATATCTTTGGCATCATCAAAAGCCTCCGCTGTTTCCCACGTGGGGTCGCCTTCGCGCCATCTCATCAAGTATTTCAATTTCCCTGTATCATCACTAGTACGGTGTGTAATAATGTGGCGAAACTCAACATCTCCTACTGTCCACAATTAATCGTTAAGTGGTGGGTCTGTGCGCCAATGCACTAACCAGATGAGTTCCACCCGTACCGGTTTGCCATTGATTTCTTGAGGGGCAGAGCTGTCTTTATTCGTCAACTCATAGCGCTGTCCGACCCTTGCCTTAACCACATACGGCCCAAACAGGGGCTGCATTGCTTTAGTCGTTCTCCCCTTCGGTCGTACCATTACCATATCACCTTTGTCGAAATGTGCCAAGTCATGAGCGTGCAGGCGATCAAATGTCTTCGTGAGTTTGCGCGTACACTTCTTGGTAATGTGGTGGAGTGTTGGCAGGATGGTATCCTGCAACTGGTCTAACCGTTGGGCCCAGGTGTCGTTCGTCATCGGCTGGGTATCCGGTAACTCATCAATAAAATCGGCAAACGGTACGTGACGGCGGCCAAAATATACACTGGACGGCGCGCTTTTATGCCGTCGGGATATCCGAAGGTTCTGATAGAGCATCGTAAACGGAAGACGTTCGACCCATCGTAGAGGGACTGCCTCACAGCATTGTCTAATGGAACGTGTAATCTCCTTATGACGTCGTTCAGCAGCACCCAGTACTTGGGGTCGATATGGTGGTGACACCTTGTGTAGCATCCCCACTTCTTGGATCAGTAGCTCCACTATCTTGTTAGTGAATTCATTCCTCATGTCCGTCTGGATCATACGTGGGAAACCATGCTCGCCAAAAACTTCTATTAGTGTCTGCGCCGTCGTCTCCTTCGTTTTATCCGGTGTCGCTCGAAGGATTGAGTAGCATGTAGCGATATCCAGGACGTGAAGTATATAATTGTTCCTTCCTCTGGACTCAAGTGGCATCGGGATGTAATCAACTTGGATATGGTCCCACGGGTAGCGCGCGTCAATGCTAACCATCGGGTGAAAGCCCATACGTAGCGTATCCTATCCCAAACATGTAGCGCACTGCCGTTTGACGTCCGTTGCCCTTTCGAGTGCGCCCGGCCACACATGGCCGTTATGTCTGAGTTGTTGAACTGTGTCGGCCGCTCCATGATGTCCTTGTTCGTGTTGAGCTTGCGTGAGTCGCGTACGGCGCTGTTGTTCTTCTGGTGTCGCTCGCTCTAACGCAGGTTGACCCTCTGCGTCTGCCATTGCCACCGAGATCTCTCGTGCCGTATTTAAACACATCACGTACGCCGTGTGTCTTGGTTTTGCATACCCAAGTCGTTGTGAAAACAGCGGGTC